AACAGATATAAGATAAAACAATCCCAACAATTTTTAAAAGTGAAGTATATGAATAAATATATCTTGAATCGCATTTCACATTTTTATGATATTTTGTATCCAATCCGCCCAAATATTTCTCATGTACGAAGTTAAAAGCAAAGTGATGTTAACATATTCTCAATGCTGAAATCATTAAAGACCGCGCTCAATACAAACTGCGTCCATTTGGCCAGGACGCTTCTTCTATGACGTGACGAAGAAAATGGATGGGAGTGACATCATGTGTGATTATCGTAATTACAAATATTTATAATAAACTTTATCTATATTATTATTGTTTATTATTATTCATTTCTGTTCGTAAAGATTTTATTACTTTATTATTCTAATAAATCTTCAAACTTTTAAGGATTTTCAGTTACATTAAATTTACCAATTAATTCAGTGCAAAAGAACATAGCGTTGTCCTTGGTTTCATACGTTAATAAAAACAACATAATATTCGCATCGGTGCAATTTTGGTGGAATCCCACAGGTATGTACTAGAAATAATCGATTTGTATTGAGAAAATGTGTAAAATTGGAAAAAATAAAAGAAACCAGTTATGTAAAATGAGCCTTCGTAGTTTTCGTGATAAGAGATCTTGTTTTTCTAGATAAGAAGTTGACAAGATTGGGAACATGAAAGAGTAAGATAAGGTTTATAAGATTTGAAGGCTATGCTTACAATTACGGCTCATAGTTTTGTAAGTTAGAGAGACACGGTTCGAGATACAAGTAAAAAACAATATATTTTATAAAATTAAGATAATTTTATTTATATAAATAAAGGATGAGAAAAAAAAAACAGTAATTGGAGTTTTCATTGATTTATACGGGGAATCCCTCGTAATATAGAAGATTCCGAAAAGAAAAATCACCGCCTCATGTCGTTCTATTTGTAACCAGTAATTTTAAATAGGTTAACCTCGTGCAAGTAATCTTGGCATCATTGTATTTCCTTTGCAAATATATATAAATTAATAATAATTTTCTTTTTATGATTGATTTATTTAGCGTAATTTTTTTGGGGGGTAAAAAAATTAAATATATAATTATTTCATTACTTAAATTGCTAATCGCTTTATTAGAATACTTGTTAATATTATTTCAAGACCCAAATGACGATTACAAAGTCGATCTATCAAGAGGCTGTGATGCCGACAAAAAGGGTTAATATCGGAGAATCTGGAGATACCACGAAAAATGGATTTACATTTCCGTAGTTCGACGATAACGTTTGTTTGTTATACAATTTCAATAAAATACTTTTTTTTTCTGTGAATTTGTGATTATAAAGTTAGTTGTTTACAGTCTTAAAATGAAAAAAATATTTTTTTAAGATCTAACCTAAAATTAGATTTAGAATGGCGAAATAAGCTCATTTTTATACAATATAATTAATATAATTGTTTGATTAACCTTTTTACATCCTATTTATTTTTTGAACAATGACGAAAAATATCTAAGAATAGAAAATGTATTACATCATAAGAGGAAAAATCATACAGAATTGTTAATGACAATCGATGATATTCTTTTTTTATTGGCAAATTTCAATGGCTTTAAATTAGTGAAAATTGCTTTGCACTTTCTAATGACATCCGTGTTAATCTCCTTTAAAGTCTCTGATTCACAAAACAAGTGATAGATTAGAATTGAGGCTTATGTAAATATTTTAATTCCTCACCGATCATTTTCAATCAAGTAATTTTTAATCATATGAAATTGAATCCAACTAAACTTTAAAGGCTTATTTGTCCCCAAGAGCAAAATTTATTTTTAGATTGTAAAAATATAAAATATCAGGTTTTCTATTTTGCCAAAAAAATTTTTATATAAAGGTTTCCTGTTCTCCTTTTCTTTAATTTTTTATTTAAAAAACTTTCATAAACTATATTTTACGAAATCAATATTCTCAATAATTTTTAATAATATATTCCCCGATTTAAATATTTGCGATATGAATATTTCTATGAAATCCACATTTTTTTTCTTCATCATCCTTGCAACATTATGTGCGTTACTGATACCAATTAACGCTAACGACGTTGCCTTTGCATATTTTAACCACAATGTCAAAGGACGATTTACATTCCTTTGGCATGATGATGTCATGGAAATCGTAATTGAAATTAAAGATGGTCTCAAATATGATGAAAAATATCCTTATCATGTTCACGAATTTGCCATTTCAGGCAACCATAACTGCTCTACTGCTGGTGGCCATCTTGATCCTGATGGTAGGGTAGGGTTCATTAGATATTTTTCGTGCTAAAATAAAAAAAATTAAAAACTTTTTTTCAAATGTAGGTTTTGGCGTAGAGGGATATGTTTGCAATTCCAATCAATTAAATAAATGTGAAGTTGGTGACTTGAGCGGTAAAATGTTTTTTCTCTCGCATGAATTTGTTGTATAACCTGAGGGTGGAAGTCCTAATCTAAAATTATCTTTTTACAGGTAAATATGGTCCATTGGAGCCGAATAAAGATGGATCTGTTTCTGAACATATCTTTGACCACTCCCTCAAATGGAATGGCCCGGCTGGTATTACAGGTCGCTCGATTGTCATTCACTTATCCGACGTTAACAGAACCAGATTCGATTGTGCTAATATCATCACTAAAAAACAAAAACTATATTAATTTTGTAATACATTCATTTAAGTTTAGTTCTTCCATGATTTCCTTTACAAATAATTCAACTGATGAATAAGATATTATATTGCGCTCACGTTATATTAGCTTCTGGGTTTTTAATTCTTCAATAGGTTTGTAAATAAACCACTGTGATATAAAAACTATTTTAATAAATTATAATGCGATTATTTTCATTTTTGTAAAAATCAGAATATTATAAAGTTTAGAGATTCATCAAATTGTGTAAAATATATGATGGGGTTTGTTCACAAATTAACTGACTAAACCAGCCATGTAAATTACACGGACGGTAATTTTTTTTGGTAGGTTGACAATATCAATCAAATTCCAGCGGATTCTTATTCCAATATTCTTTTGCGTCTCCAAAGATTTGTATTATTAGTAAAAGATATTAACGATGCTTCGACTGATCGTATACCGAAAAAAAAAAAATATTAGAAAACCATATTATCCCTTAAATGGTTGCAGACCATTTATCTATTAATAATAACGTTAATAAAATAATTCTTTAATATATTTCTTCATTAATTCATTGAATTTAGAAAAATCTATTGGATATATTTATTTTTATCATCAACAAAATAGTTTAGACACATACATACTATCAAAGGGTGTAAAGGAAGTTAAGGTTGGGTTCATTAATATTGTGTTGAGGAATGAGCAGTGAAGTAAAGAGTTGAGAATCGAAGAATGAAAAAATGAATTTGTTACAGGACATGTAAGTATTTTTTATATATATAGTATATATTCCTTCGATTAATTAATCATACAGATCTAGTTTTGATGTATTTAATCGCAAAAAAAAAAAAAAATCATGTAGTTACTTACATACAGATCCGTTTCTTTATAAAATTTTGATCAAGCATTACTCAAAGAAATTTTATTCATCCTATCGTAAATATTTTACAAATAATTACGAAATTTCAAATTCTAATCCAAAATCAAATATGAAGTATAACATGAATCATAATGTTTTATAAAAAAAAGTTCTTATATGACATGCAC